CGGTAGGATCCCTCTGCGCCCTGAGCCCCGGCTCTTCCAGGATGCGCGAGCTCTGCAACACTTGGGGTCGCCGGTCCCACTCAGGTCCCTAAACTGGCCCGGCCCGGGCCCCCTACAGCCTTTGTTCCAAAATTTTCAGCCTCCAGTCCCTCATGCGAAATTTTACACCTCGTATCCTCGAAAGCCTCGCCCCAAATCTCACGCTAAATCCTCTCCGCCCTTGGCCTCCAAATCCATTGCTTCTCTTCGTTTTGCGACCTGGAAACCCTTCCTGTCCCCGCTTCAACCTTCCTCGATCCGCGTGTCCCTTGCGTAGATCTCGGAGGGGTAAGCACCCAGATGTAACAGGGTGAGTGGAACACCCCCACATGTAACAGGGTGAGTGGAACACCCCCACCACCACCCCGGGGCGTAATTGAGCAGGATCAGCTTTGCCAAGGGGGTACTAAAGCGGGAGTGGGAGAAGGAGGCGTGTCATGAATTGTGAGCGAGAGAGAACATCATTTATCTTACCTGGTTTCTTATTTTTCTTTGCTTTTCCAAAGGCAGGAAGGCGTAAGGGCTTTGGGGACTGCAGTCGGACCTGTACTTCACACAGGTTATTTACTTTACCAGAAGTGAGATGGTGGACCAGTTAAGAATGCCTAACTCTAAAGCCTGTTTACGCTAAAAACCAGGTGGCTTATGGATGGCAATGAAGCTAGAGATTCAATAAATGTTCATTATTCAAGCCTATACATCCATCCATCCATCACTAAGTTTTCCAAATTTTTCCATTTGCTGGAGAAAGTTTCCTCCCAATTATTTGGAAAAGTGAAATGATCCTCCCCACTTCCACCACCGTCCCCCCCCCCCAAAAAAAATCCCACTCCATTTCCTCAGTTCACCATATCATTAATGCTTTATGGTTTTGTCTAATATTAATTACCCTTCCCTCCCCCCTCCACAGGACGATATTAACCATGTTTATTTTCGGTATCTTACGACTTTGACATCCTAAAAATGGTGCTGACTGGGAATAGACTAGCCTGCTACGGCTAATTCCTAAAGAGAGCAAGCAACTTACTTGGGAGTGCACCTCTCATATGCAAGCAACCACCCCCTTTATCTCACACTCACACACCAAGCTAATACTTCCCCTGCTCTCAATCATCCCAGGGCCAGGCACCAGGCAACTAGAAAGCACCCCTGTACCCCCAAGCCCACATTTATTCTTCCAAACTGTGTACTCTGCCCTGCCTTCCAGTGCAGACCCCAATAAAGGCTCCAGCCTAAAATTCCCCCTGCTCCCGCTCTGCCCGCTGACCAAGGCCTGATGCTCCGCTGTGGCCCTGCGTGGCCTGGTTGTGCCCCTTCTCCAGGGAAATGTAAGACAACTCTCTCCATGGCAGGGGCTTTGCCATGGGGGCACTCTGTCATCTCCATACGTTAAAGGCCCTTGGATACAAACGAGACACTTCCAGCACGCAGCCCCCTTGGCAGGGTCACTTTTGAAGGTGCTGGGGAGAAAAGGCCGGCAGGGGTGCAGGAAAGCCCAGACTTTTCTGTGTGAGGCTGGCCTGTCCACTTGGCCTTCAGACCAATTCCCTCCTCTTAGGGCCCGTCACCAGGGGCCCTTGTCACCCATTCTAGAAGCTTCTGTGGCCAGTTTCTCGAGCTCCTGCTTTCTGAGAGCCCGCTGCTTGCCCAAAGCTCCCGGGGCCCTGGGAGAGGCAAGGATGTAACACAGGCCAGGGCGCCATCCACCAATTCGGTAGCCTGTGGGGCCGGGGGAGCCACTAGGGTTGGAGTCTTACTGTGTCCTGTTGAGGATTCAACAGGTCAGTCTGTCCACTGTCCTTCCCGTAGTCCGTGGCAGACCTGGGCATGGCTGAGTGAGGGACACTTGGCACGCAGGTTTGGGTGGGCTAATGCTGGGCTAGTTGGGGGGAGTCCTGGGGGTGAGAACACTCTCCAGGAGGAAGGGAAAGTTCAGTCTGTGCCCTCGCTCTGCCCTGGGCCCCAGGAGGCTGTGAGCTCCTTTGTCTGGTTCCCTTGTCACCCGGCTTCCAGATGGTTCAGCCGGTGGAAAGCCATTGAAGGAGATTGGGGAAGGGGCAGAAAAGGGAAATTAGGGTGTCTAATTCCATCAGCTGGGGGGTTGGCCATGGCTGTGCCCTCCAGCTCCAGCGATATGGTTCCCTCCCCTTGGCTTATTATTATTTTTTTAACATTTTACATTCATCTTAGAAGAAAAACCTGAAAAGCAGTCTTGGTAATCAGACGAGACTGGAAGAGACCGAGCAGGTACTTTATAATCTAGATCGGAAGTTCAATGCTGAGCTGCAGAAGTTCAGAAACGACTTGTTTTCCACCCAGGGAGAGGCGGGTGATATGGTAGGTCCATGCAGATCCACAGGGATGCGGGGGAAATTGCCAAGGACGGAGCAGGAGGCTTGGACCCACCGCCACAGTGGTGGTGTGGCGATAACAGCAGTGACGATGCCGCTAGCCTTTATCTAGCAGTCACCGTGCGCCCGGTCCACGCAAAGAAGCAGTAAAGGCGGGACCAGAATTGCAACGGAGGGAGCGACCCTGGCCTATATCACATCACATAGGCCTGGAGTTTGGACAGTCTGGAGTCTGTTACAGTGCCAGGACCCTGACAGAGTATTTTGTCCGCAAACACTCTGGTGTTCAGAAGAGTGCTGTGAGGTGGCCAGTGGTCACCGAGGCTCAGAGAAATGATCTTGCCCAAAGTTACAACGACCGGTGAACAAACAAAGCTAAATTGAAATTCATTTTCCAGACCTTTATATAGATCATCTTATCCCCTCAAGTCTCCCACTTGGCTTACAGGAGAAAAAGAGGAGCTCCTCTAAGCATTTTTCCTTCTGAATCCCTCTTACAGGGTCTAGCGTGTGGACCCAGAGGGAGATTTTTCACGCTTAACTCGGATATACGTGACTGCCCCCAGGACTCAGTGTCTGGGGGCATTTCATTTGTTGTAGGGGAAAGTGGGGGAGGGAAATGCCTGTGAGTCTGTTCACCCTTGGGTCATGGGGAAGCCAGGTCTTCTCCTTCTCCTCCTTCCTGTTTTCTACCCTTCCTCTTCCTCTTCCTCTTCTCTGCTTGTCCTTAATTAAATATTCCTGCCCCAGGTTGAAACATTTAGATGTGGAAAACTGCCTGTAGTGCGCAATCTGACCACCAGAGGGAAGCACGAGACCGTAGCTTTGTCGGTCTGACCAGGACCAGGTCCTTTTAAATCAGCAGCTCCCCTCCCAAACGTGATCTTGGGTTCCCAGGCCTGTCTGCACATTCGAATCATCTGATGACCTTTTGTAAAATCACGGGTGCTTGATGTTATATAATTGGCTTGTGGTCTCCACCTCAAGTCAATTGCATCTTCTATGCCTGGGGGTAGGGCACAGGTGTTGCTAGTCTTTTCAGTTTCTCGGGTACACAGAGTTGAGAACCACTAATGGAGAACATTAAATCCTGAAAACTGTAAAGGCTTTTAGGAATCACCTAATCCTTTTCCCTAAAGAGGTGCCAGAGGGTAAGCTGTTCTCTCACATCGGACCAGGGGCAGCAGGAGGAGATGGGGACACCAGCCCTGTCAAGCGTGAGGGAGCTACTCCAGTAAAGGATCAGTTTTGATAAGAGTTAGGCGGGTTTACTTCTTAGCTGACACCACCTCCTCTGTGCGCTCTGGGAAGCTGTAAGCAATCCGTGGGTGCATTCACAGATCCCAGCAGGCTTGTTTTTGTTTCAGAAGTTGACAAGCTGATGCTAAAATTTATGTAGGAATTCCAAGGCCACAGAATAGCCAAACAATTCTTCCAAAAGAACAAAGCTGACGAATGTAATCTGCCTGACTTTAAGACAATATAAACATGCAGTAGTGAAGTAGATTTAAGTATGTGTAGATTTAATAGAAATCAATAGAATAATGTATGCATAAGGGCTATTGTTTTTCAAGTATTAAAGTGCCAGTGTGATTGGGGGAAGAATGGTGTTTTTAACAGATAGCGCTGGTAAAATGTAGAACCACCAGGAGTTCTACAGCTGCAGGAAATGACTTCTGCCAACAGCCACGTGAGCGTGGAGGACTGGGCCTCAGGTGAGCCTGCAGCCCTGGCCCACACCTGGATCGCACGAAGCCTATGAGGCCCTCAGCAGAAGACCCACAGAAATGGAGACAATAGCCCTGGCCGATTTGGCGCAGTGGATAGAGCGTCGGCCTGCGGACTGAGGGGTCCCAGGTTCAATTCCGGCCAAG